TAAATTAAAATAATGTTGAAAAAATTTAGTAAATACATTAAATCTGATTTTAACACCTTGATGATTTTTTTTCTAAGTCAATCATCTCATATTTGTATGTATACCCTGAAACAGTATTAATGATGGAAATTATTTCCATAGTTGAATTTGAATATTCATTATGCATGTTAAATATCTCAAGTGAATCCCTACTTACAGAGCCTATAATTAATTAACTATAAGTAAAAATCAAATTTTCCTTTCTGTACACGAAATTCAGTTTAATAAACAAACCTACGTAAATTCTTTTACATATAATTTAATAAACAATGATGTTCCTTTTTTACAGTAAACAGTTAATATTTAGGATATTTTTATTAAAAAGGGTGGATTTCAATGAACCCTTTTATTCGTCAAATTAATTAACTCATTACAATGAGAGTAATTTCTTGTATAACGTAATACATAAAAGTCAATAAAATATTTAATGCAAAATAAGGGAAAGAATGTTTCTCTAAATACTGACAGAAAAAAAACGGATTTCAATCCCTTTGTGTTAAACCCTTAAACTTAGAACGTCCTATCTCACCTATTCTTATGCAAATATAAATTATACTAAGCGAAGTCCTGCGTGCATGATTTCAATTTCTAATTTAAATTATTTTTTGAATAAATATATCAAATATGTAAGCGGAATTTATGAATATTAATTTCATTTATTTACTTATTCATTCTTTAGTTATTGAAACCGTTTTTACGAGGCTTTTGTACGAGGAGATTTTACTTTGTAAAAGTCTTATATGTTTGAATAAAATCTATTTTGTTTCATTATTTAAATATCGGTGGAAAAAAGATGACTTTACAAAAGTTCTGAAGGAACTATTCATTACAGTTAAAAAAGACGATAACTATTTCGAAAGTCATATTTACTTATATAAACAAGCTACGTGTATTCCAAAATGTGTGTACATTTTTAAAACCATAATTCATTTTAGGGGAATTTTAGTAAATAAATGTCGTTTTAAAGTAAATACATAATTAATTTATATGAGCTCAAATTTAGCAATTTTCATATAAAACTGGAAAATGCGAAAAATAACATTATTAAAAAAATAATGTAATTTTTTGCATATTCCAGTTTGGTTTAATTTCAAAATTTTTGTTTAATGGAATTCCATTTATCAGTGTTATATAATTAGTAGTGTTGAATACGCAAAATTTTTTTAACAAACATACACTCTTCCAAAATTACGGTTAAATTTCCAAAAGTTTTGCCGTAAATTGTACGGCAAGTAGACCTATCGTTATAGGATCATAGTTGTTTTACGGGCATACATTTTTTTTTACAGTCACCGTAATCTAGACTCAATTTTTTTGGAATATTGTTAAAATGTAAATATTTCATTAAAAAGTAAATTTTTTGTAAGTTAAGAATTATTCTAAGATTTCATTTTTCATATTTGAATTTAACAGTTTTCATGTTAAATCAAAAATTTAAGTCAGTTATATTAAATACAATATAATTTTTTTTTAAAAAACGCACATATTTTCTATTAAAAAATAAATTTTACTTGGTTTTACTTTCGTTACATAATTATTTAAAAAGAACATTTTTAGAATTAAAAGTTATGTATTCCTAAAAACCTACAATGAATACTTCAAACTAAAATACTTAAATATTAATATATAATTTTATTTCAAAAACATTTATTTTAAATCTCCTGTAAAGTGAACAGCTGCTATGTTTTTAACATATTAGTTGAAACGAATTAGCTCTTAAATAATTCTCAATTCCTTCCAAATCACTAATTCCTTCCACCAGAGGCAATAATTACACAGCTCCAAAGCACAATAAATCACCACCTTTGTATATCTGCAAAGCTATAGAACCAGGCAATTGATATTTGAACTTCATTCATATTTTATGAAATCTATTCATATTTTTGAAAAAAAATTTAATTTATAATTTATATTTATAAATAAAAACAATCAAATAATAAATTAAAATGAAAAAAGAACTATCATAAGATCAATAATCTAGGTTACTACTAAAAAACAAGCCAAAACCAAATTCTAATATTATTTTTTATATTATCGTAGTTATGTTTTTACATAATTGAAAGAAACAATGAAAAAATATATAAGATAAATTGCATCTTAATAAAAAAAATTAAATAATTTTTTATTTACAAGGTGTAAAACGTAAAAAAAAAGTTCTTTGGTTATTTCAACATTTCGAAACAAAATATACTTTATTATTCAAGAAAAATGCAAGAATACTTAAGTAATCTCAACGTAGAGAATATTTTTGAACTTTTCAAAAAGATTAAAAGTTCTGATTTGTTAATCACAAAATTTTAAAGTTACATAATAGAGCTTTACACAAGTAAATGATGAAGATCACACGTTTATGAAGAAATTTAAATAATGTTTACATAAAAAATAATATATAGTATATTTCTTTCTGAAATTATTATTTTTTTAAAAAAGAGAAATTTTATCAGTTATAATATTTTTGGTTGTTGGATTTTTAATTACTCTGTTAAATATATTGGAACACAATACTTTTGAGTTGAATATTATAACTAAAAGTAAAAAAATGAGGAGGAATTCCTAAAATCATAGAACTATGAATAAATTAATAATTATTCATCTCAATAGTAATGCTATTTTTTTCAATTTTAAGTTTGGTCTAATAGTAAAAGTATAAATAAATAATAAAAATTCTAGTAAATCATCAAATATTTAACATGAAGGTGCGAACTCGGTACTTTGTATAAAGCTAATTTACATGCAAAATTAATGGGACTTGTAATATTCAGGGGTGAGTGTGAGTCCAACTCAAAAATCCGGAAAATTTCTTGAGTAAAATCATTAAAGACGCAGAATGTCTTTATAAATTTAAATCATTGATATTTTCAAAACATTGAATTCTAAATAAATTACATACAGCATAATTTAAATGAATGATTATGTATAAGTTTATTTTTATCTCATCACATTTATTATTCTACCAGAAAAAATATTTACAAATGAAAGATGCCAAGTATAAATTCTAATTCTTCTTCTTGGGCACTACAGCCAATGACAGGCCAAGACCGTCCCAATAAGTTTTTGCCATCTTGATCTATTCTGTGCCATGGCCTAGTTCTAATATTTTTAAATAAAGTATTCAAGAATTTTTATACATAAATGTGATCGATGATTTCTTAGAACTTCTGGACCTAAGATTTCCGGAAACTTCCGGAGCGCAGTTAGGGAAAAATCCGGAAATCCGTATTTTTTCCGGAGCACAATCACCTCTGAATATTATAATATGAAATTGATGCAAAGTATTTGGATGAAAATATTTGTTGAAAATAATTTCGTTGATAACTTAATCACTAAACGTAAAAAATATATGTAAATTGTTTTAATTTTTAGAAAATTAAAAGTAAAATAGTTAAAACAAATTATGCTTTCATAATTTAAAATTGCTCGGAGAGTTTAGTACTATTATTTAAGCTTGAAATCAAGCTTCAAAAATAAATTGTTTAAGTTCAAAAGAGGCAACGGATGTTGATTAAACGAAAAACAAATATTTGTATTTCATATATTTATTATTAAAAAAATTGACAATTTTGATTGTAATTACTTTCTGATTTATTCAATTATACATACAGCTGACTATGACTGAAATAGAATCTGAAATAAATAAAAATAATTTGAAAAAAAAAAGGTTATATCCTGTTGAATAAAATGCTTGGTCCTCATATTTACTTACCATCTTTCTTTGAATTGTTCTATGCATTATATTCATATCGAATAATAATGATACGTTTACTAAAAATGAAGGAATTAGGTCCAAATTGGACCTTTTTTAATGGAAATATATTAGTCATGTTTGATTACTGCACATTATGAAATAGTCAAAATCAATGAACTGAAACGATAGAATCTTCATGAAAGGTATGTGACACCAAATATAAATTTTGATAATATGTTAACACATTTTAACAAAGAAACAAATAATCATGATTGATGATTAAATAAGTTTTTAATTTTTTTTATCTCTGCATTAAGAGATATTATGCAAATACACCACACTATTTAAAATGGAACATAATCGATATCATTCACAAAAAAATTCAAATGCAGAAATCCATGTTTAACAAACTGCAGTTCTTAAAGAATTTTATTGTATGGACATCATTCGTAGTGCTTTGATATCATATAATTATCTATTAATAAGTTTGAATTATATCCATGCTCATTTGAAATCATTCTCAAACTCAAAACTGTTGTTTATTTTTCCATGCTTCAATTTTTCTAAAACGTCTTGGATTACAGTGTAGGGATAAAAAATATAAGGATAATTCGTTTCTTCGATATCATATAATTATCTATAAATTAGAATTATGTCCTTGTTCAATTGAAATCATTGTCAAACCCAAAACTGTCGTTTATTTTTCTTTGCTTCATTTTTCTGAAACGTCTTGGATTACTGTGTAGGAATAAAAAACTGTACTTCACAATCTAATACATTTCAAATTATTTCATTGCTTCATAACTTTTATAAAATAAATCAATAACTTATTCTTTTACATGTGTTTTTAAAAGTCATGTTAAGTCTTAAAGACATGCTAATAAACAATAGGATGCCTGTGTCAGATTCCAATATGTACATATTTATTAAAAACATTAATACAATACATAATTTATTTATTATACTGTACACTTTATGAATATGCGATATTATTTACTATGAATTTTTCATGCAGAAATAATAAAACGTTTTCTCTCCCTTCTAGAACACCGTTGGCTAATATCTTTTCTGTTTTCACTGAAATAATTTTTTGTACGTCACTCTTGAAGCATACCATAAGTAAATATTCCTTTTTTTCGTATCTTCACATATTCAATAATAATTAATGCATAAATAAGAAATATTTCTATAAATAATAAATCGAAATAATAAAATGTTTTCTTTCCCTTCTAGAACACGGCTGGCTNGTTGGCTAATATCTTTTCTGTTTTCACCTTTTTTTTCGTATCTTTACATATTCAATAATAATTAATGCATAAATAAGAAATATTTCTATAAATAATAAATCGAAATAATAAAATGTTTTCTTTCCCTTCTAGAACACGGCTGGCTAACACATTTTATGTTTACTGAAATAAATTCATGTATGTCATTCCTGAAGCATACCATAGAAAATATCCTTTTCTCAAAACTTCGACTATTGAATAATAATAATGGAGAAATAATAAAACGTATATAAATAATAAATATTTCCGTAAATAATAAATAGAAATAATAAAATGTTTTATTTAGCTTCTAGAACACCGTTGGCTAATATCTTTTCTGTTTCCACTGAAATAAATTTATGCAAGTCATACGCGAAGCATACCATAGATAAATATCCTTTTCTCGTATCTTCGCATATTCAATGATAGCAAATGATTAAAATTAAAACGAATATAAATAATAAATATTTCTATAAATAATAAAACGTTTTCTTTCCCTTCTAGAACGCCGTTGGGTAATACCTTCTCGGTTTTCACTGAAACAAATTTATGTAAGTCATTCCTGAAGCATACAATAGATAAATATCCTTTTTTCGTATCTTCGCATATTCAGTAATAGTTAATGGATATTGACTACTGCTGCAATCTGTAATATAAGAAAGAAATTCGTAATATTCATCATCATTATTAAAAGTTAACCATTTGAATTTGGAGTTGGTCAAAAACAATATTTGATATGCGGCATGCTAGATTTCATCCATTTGGCCGGTTGAATTAAATGTATATGAAGAAAACATGTATTTTCTCCCAGGAAGATCAATTTCACCAAAAATATTTTTGTTATGTACACATAGAAAGGTATAAAATCAGCATTCCAATAGTGATTATATACAATTTAAACTCTTCGTGGAGTACATTAGATCCAGAACTGTCTTCTGACACTGTAAGAAAAAAATATAGAATAAAAACATGCGAATTAAAACACGCGAAACTAAAGTGATACAATTAATAGATAATAAGTGATACAATATATTAGAAGTAATTCATGAAGAAATTTAAAGTTTTTATGATCTATCTTTCGTTATATCGAGAAAAAAATTATTGTATTTGTTGAAAGAAACAAAAAAAATCATCTTAAAGAGACTATGTCAAGAATAAAAAATTCAGAAGATTAAAAAAATGAGCATTAAACATTTAAGAAAAAACTTGTATATATTTATATTAATTTTTCTTTACGTGAATAAAATCTATCCTAATATCATGAAACATGTCTCTTTATTTTAAAATTCCCATTAAATCCATACATTTCACTGTTAGAATTTTCATTTTGAAATTACGGTAAAGTAATCGAGAGCAATCTTACAGTTAATTGGATGTCCATCCAATTAACCGTAACGTTTACGGTGAAGAACATTTTTTACCTTTACGGTTTTGATACCATTTACAATTAGAGTGGTTTTAAGATCATGAATAGATAACTATATGTTGTTGTTTTTTTAAAACAATTTACAACTAAATGGTTTCAAAACCATAAAAAAGAAATTTAACTGAACATTAGAGCTGGGCTTTCTGTTAGCCAATTAAGAGTGCCAAAGATACTGGAAACTTTTCAAGTAATGAAGGGAATAGAGGAAATATTGTGGTGTCAATACTGGGACTCGAACCTCTGATCTGTAAGCCATGTCACTGACAGATTAGCCCATTTGGTTTTAGAGGCAAAAAACTAATTTGTTTTTTTTAGGTGAGCTTAGTTGGTGCAATAAAATTCTGATTGTAAAACCGTATTGTGTGAAAGCAGTTAATAAACGGTTTTTCTCACAGTTAAAAGTTTGAATAATATCTTACTAATGGTTATTTGGCTGTTTTGTTTGAATATGGTCAAATAATAATTAAATAACTGTTATTTAACAATTTTTTCTGAAAAATTTACGACAGTGTCCAAAATGTCAAACTTATTAACTGAAAGATACTTTTTTTACACTTTTAAGGTGACAATTTAAAAAAAATCAAATATAAATTAATAGTTTTTATTTGATTAAAACTATTTTTTATATATTTATTCAAATTCTAATTCACAATTTCAAAAAATGTAAGAGAAAATTATTTAGATTTGAGAATGTGTTTGATACCTTCTATATTTAAAATTGGCCACAGAAATTTAAAAATTAGACCAACAAAATCTGTGAGCTTTTTGCAAGCATTTTTTTTTTCAGTTTCATAAATACTATTAATGATTTTCTGATGAGGAGAACTAAAACAAAAGATATAATTTTTGCTTAACGTAATGCATTTTTCCCGTTTTCGAAATCATAACTGAACGGATTATGCTATCTTTACTATAATTTCCGTTTTATAATTTTATTACTTATTTTAGTTCAAGCAGTTTTTTTTTAAATTTTTAAAATTATAATTTTGAATTATATTTGATTTTCTTCCGTAAGATGCCATTTTCTTTTCTTGCTGGGCAGCAATTTCTTATTATTTACGATTAATTTTTGCATCAAAACAAATATCTCATTATTTTTTAAATATTTTGGGGATAATTTAAAAACAAAATAAATATGAAAGTATAAATTAATTTGAATAAGAGCACTTTTTGTATGTTTTATTAAATTCCTACTTGCAATTTCTAAGCAATGTGAAAAAGTAAACGTAATATATTTAAATTTGAGAATGTATTTTATTTTCGTAACTATATTTAAATTTGCCACAACTTGTCAATTGCATCAACAAAAATATGCGTGGTCAGTTTAGAAGCAATTTTTATAAATACTATTTTAGGTTATTAACTGAAAAGTCGTGAATGAATGAAAAAATACACGTATTGAAGAATTCGTGTATTTTTTAATTTTAAAAATAATAAATGAACGGATTAAGCTACATTAATATAATTTCTTTTTTATTATTTTACTGCATATTTTTGTTCAAAAAGTTCTTTTATATCTTTTTCTGACCTTTATCCATGCCATGCCGATTCCTTTTCTTGTTTGCTTGCTGGGCAGCATTTTCTTGGGCAGAAGCAGTTTCCTCGGGCGCTCGATATTTTCCATCTATGAGAAGGAACAATTTTGAATTCTAGATTAGCTTTTGAGTGAAACTAAATACTAAAATCAAGGGAATTTTTTAAGTAGAATTATTAATCAATATTGTAATAATTTTATATAAGTTCTTACATAACTTATTCTTACATGTCATATAAATTCTTATATGTCTTATATATTTGTTTTAAAAGTCATAGATGCGTATTATTTTGTCTGGGTTTTTAAAAATAATCTCGTTTACTACAAATAATAGCGAATTTAAAAATTAATGAACTTGCAATAAGTACTTGAGTGGGGAGAACTTTTAATTAATTAGAATGTTAGCAGTTATTTAAATAAAAAAATTAATACTTCAGCATTTAATAATATTAACTCATACTACATATAATTTAAAACTCGAGGCAGAATGTGAAAGACATGCGTTAAATAATATGCCATGTAAATATATATAATTGTAATATTTTTAAAGTATTAAATACATCAAGGAAAAATTTTTAAATTTTTTTTTTACCTACCATGAGAGGAAACGCCTATAAAACAGGCTAATTCATATGACCTTGAAGTTAATTAGGTATTTATTTATATTTTTCTCTTTCAGTTTACATTCCCCCCAAAAAATTATGCATCGACTTTTATATAATTAACACATGGAGACTATTTCTCTATTGTTTTCCAAATGTAATTTAACGTTTCCTGTCTTAGAGCAATAATACTTATTGTATTCCTGTTTACTCATGCAATTATTCTTCGAAATCGCAAGCTACGATTGAGTTCTCTCCCTCGCAGCAATGCTAGTTGCTTCAATTATACAAATTCTAGCATTATCGTATCTGTTTGCCTATTCTGATTGGTCACTGATTCTATTTGGCCCCTCTTTCTACTTTCCGTAAGCAGAAACGCCACTCTTAATTGAAACTAGCTAAGCTTGCCGATTTCTAATATTGTTAGCATCTCTTTAAACGAAAACCCAAATGAGTTTCCTTAAACTACCCTCGGCAACTACAGCAGTTCGATCTTTCTAGAAGCCATTCCCCCAATTAAACCCCTGTCTTCACGATTTTCTTTCTTTTTTTTTCTCTTTATTTTGGTGAGCGTGGAAAATTGTTTATTAACCGCGAAGCCCTGACGGCAAATGAGATCAAGACAGAATACATCCAGCAAGAATAAGGTGGGGGACGTCTGCTTTCTGGGTTGGTTCGAATTAAAAGAAAATTTTCGTAACTCGCTTAAGCTGTATTCGATGCGAAGGCGTCAATAACCATCTCATCTGAATGCAAGAGAATAGCCCAGGGCCTAATGCGTGTTGTGGGCTTGTGTAAGTGGGTAATTAGAAGGCAATTAGGCCCCATTGCAGTTTTCGGCCGATTGATTAAGAGGTACTGGAAGCAATCCGGCCTTCTAATTTACGCTTCGCCTAAGACGCGTATGTGGTTTAGGATATAATTCTGAGTCACGTTTTTAGTAATTCGGTGAAACAGTTTTCCTAGTTAAGGATATTTCGAACCTTATTTATCATAGAATTCCGAGTTCATTCTTGCATGAGTTTCAAAACCGGAGATTCTTTTAAAGTGGTTTAGAAATGCATTAAAGAATTTATTTCCTTGCACTGCTCTCAAACATTAAATGTCAGCTCCAGGCAATGAGATCTTCAACTGTTGAAAGAATCTTATTGCCAGATTCGTACGAGAAATTTAAATATCAGCGAATCCGATCAAAACTAGAGATATTGGTTCCTGCTTATAATGACTTCTTATATGTATTTTTTTTTCAGATAAGATAAATGAAGAACGTAAGTGATAAAAATAGCTTATCATTCAGAATAAATACATTTGAAAAATAGAATAAGCTACTTTTATATGGCTTGATTCATTTTAGAAGGAATGTAATTTTCCTTATAACGTTTTGTTAATTATTCTACAAACGAAGTTCATTAAAATTTAGGTTTGACTTATGTTATAGAACATTTAATTCTTTTTTTACGGTGAAAAATCTTTTTCCAAGTTATATATTTATTTTACATCGAATAAGTATTGGAGAAATTATCATTATAGTACTTAGTATAAAATTTGTTCGGTTTTTATTCCCATATTTTTATTTATAATGTTTGCTTAGGATAATTTTGATTTAATCTGCCTTCAATGCTTTTCCATTTTGACTTATTTCACTTAAATCCTTGCCTTCATTTCTGTTTACTTAAATTTTCATACTTAGATTAGATTAGATAATGCTAATTAATAAAAGTAAATCATAGTTATATATCCGGCACATGTTTTAAAAACAAAATTTATATACTATATATTATAAAATAGCTATATTATAAAATAACTATTTTATAAAATAACTATATTGTTAAAATAAAGTAACAAATTTTACATTAGTTCAGTAATCTAACATATTTTAAAATAAATAACCAAACTACTATTAATTATGGTGAGTAACACTAAAATATATTTTAAAGCATTGATATGGAAGTTGAATAATAACATTAAAGTAAAATAAAAATTTCTTGTTATAATTACATTTGAGATATTTTTTATTGTTAATATTTTTTTAAAACTTTCATTTTCTTTAAGAGATTTGAAAGTTTTTTTTTTTTTTTTAAATATTGGTTAATGTTGAGGAAAAGTCATTGTAATCAATGTAAATGAAACAAAATTTTTAGATGTATGTTTGAGTCCATACACCTCGTACAAAGTCACAATTCTGAACTAACCCGCACCATATTTGGTATACATACTATACCGAATCAAGCATTACTGAAGAGACAATATTTATAAAAAGATAAGATTTATTTAAAACATCAAAAAAAGCATAAAAATGGGATTATATGATTTTTAACGCTTATCATTTCCCGTAACGGCGTGATACAATAAAATAAAAATAAAACTATCTCCACGAAAAATCATCTAACTCCCCGACGTTCCAAAATTTCTGCATCTTCTTTTGATTTTTTTTATCTCGTTTGAACAGTTTTTCTATTAATGCTTATGTTAATTGGTAGTTTTTAGAACCCTCCTACATTATGATAGATGACATTATTTAGACTCCTACATTATTTACCCTCCCACATTATGATAGATGACATGGTGGACCTAACTTTCTACTTTAGAACTATTCCCAGCCACCGGTTCGCAACAACTACAGTGCTGACGTAAAATATCTTCAGTGGTAGATGGATCATGGGTAAGAGTCCCCTTGCAGTCAAGATAACCGTGAGATGTTTTCCTCTCTATGTAACGCAAATGAGGGATAATTCAATCAAAAAGTCCTCCACGAAGGCAAATTTCTCCCCGATGCTTGATCCAGGCGTTCCCTTGCCTTCTGCATTGGGTGCAAAATTAAAAGGCTACGGAGTTTAACATTGGCAATCGTAAACCCAAAATTGGGTCCATTGTTTAACGACGGTTACAAAAATATAAAATAAAATATTTTACAATAAGAGTAAAATGCATGCTTACAGATCTAAGCAAACAAAACTTAGCTTTATCACATATTTTTATGAATTATTTATCTTCTCTCTTATAATTTGGATCATCAGTTTGGTGATGGAGTCACCGAATTAATATTTTAGATGGTGTACGAAACCACTTGTTTCTCAAATTGATTAAGCTTTTTAAGCGTGTCTTTAAAAATTTAAAACCTTATGGAAATTTAAAACCTTTATTGAATCCTGATTGAAATCTAATAAAATAAAATCAAAGTTTTCTCTTAAGACATGGAGAAATTGTGATAAATTTGAATACAAGGCGTTAAGGGCGCTACGTATATAGTTAATCTTCCTTTTTGGAGAGTTGATCTTTCTTACTCAAATTATGGTAAATTTAGTAGTATAAAACTTCACCAGAAAAAAAAAAATAAAGATTGAGCATTAGACGCTATGTTCGATACGGCTTTATTAGAGCATATATCCGTTTCGAGAATAACTGGTACTAAATTTTTTATTTTGCAATTTAAAAGGAAAATAATTGAGGAAAATATATTTATTTGTAAACGAGAACCGTGAGAAAATTGGTACATTGTTATTGAAGCATCAAACATCGATAACCCGACCGGCCTGTGTATGGGGCAGGGAACTGTCCTTGCATCAGAAAGGTCCTGGGTTCGAATCCCGGGCAAGGTATGGATGTTTTTTTCTCTCTCTGTGTGTTCTATGTCCTTTCTCCTTTGTGTGTGACTGTGACCCGCCCTATAAACGGGTTGTAGTTGTGTGAACGGCGTGGCAAAAGTCGAATTCCTGGCCATAGATGGCGCCACTGAAAAACAGGAACAATCGCACCCCCACTGCCTAAACAGGCAAACGACAAAAAAAAAGAACATCGATAAGCAAATTTGTTACAAGTTTCGGATACAAAGGTATTCAACACATTTTCAAAGACCATTAAAATGCGCTGATTGAAAGTTTAAAAACCATTTGTCTCGATTTACCCGCCGTTTTTTAGATAGTTTTTCAACTATTTACATTTCAATAAGTCTATATTTCATCCAGTACTTACGAACAAATCATTAGTTACGAAAATAGTCAGATTAAGTCACAACGCATATAAACTATATATGTAGCAAAAAATACTTCACACATGAAATCCATACACTCTGAAAATACATCCTAAATCTAAAGTATACTTCAGTGTTGAACGTTCACACATAGCAAATAACAACCAAAAAAAAAAAGAGCAGCGAGAGAAAGATAAGGGAAGAACCCAAAAAATAAAGTCCTTGAAAAGAAGCATTAGAAAAAAACATCACTTTATCAATTATATGAACTAATGTTCAATTTGATTTGCGCCGTTGAGCGAATTAAGCCCGAATTTAAAATAATAAAATATTTAAACAATGAACTAAAGTACAAGGATTTCTTTAAAGTTCGAAGAAGAAACTACATACTATTTAATAAAATTTTTAGAATTCTAATATTTACACTATTTGTGCTGTGATGTTTTAACAGTAGTTATATAGTTTTAAAAAAACTGCATTAAAATATATCGTTGTATATTTTTCGTCAATAGTTTTAA